CGGGCGATAGAAACCCGATAAAAACCTGATAATTCTCGTCTGTCGGCGAGGTCAGGTAGAATCTTCTCACCACCAAAAATTCCAATTTTACTTGTCCACCCAGGAAAGTGTCATATATATTGCCTAATATCGATATCGTTTTGTGCGAGCCTTTTTATGTTAAACGATTATTTGGGAACAGTTTCTGTAACTTTTCCAGAGAAATCGAGTCACTTCTTGTTCTAATTTTGTACCGACAACTTTTTTTTAATAAAACCGGTAATTCTATTTATCTATCGTTGATTTCTGTGTTTTTTTTCTTTTTGGCCATGGGTAAAGAAATCCCTGCTTCCAAGTTGGATCTGGAGAGGTCGTCGAGCAGTGGAGCAGAGGAAACTCTTACCTCGCCAGCTGGACAGCAAGCAAATGCTCCGGTAGCGACGACAACCATGGACGCCAAGCTGATGGTGGCCACAGCCAGTGGCGATGTCCAGCAGCTGAAGGATCTGGTCAACAAGCAGGAAGAAGATTCGAAGATGATGGTGGTGGCGATAGCCAAGCAGCAGGCTGCTGCAGCTGCTTCAGCGGGGAATCCTCATCCTCACAAGGGGAATATGGATCCTCGCCTGCTAGCATTGGCCTCCTCCGGCTCTTCTGAGGAACTGCAAACCCTTCTCAACGGGGAACACGGTCAAGCCTCTGGCTGCAGCGGCAGCCACGGGAGCTTGCCAATTCGTCGAGGTTCTGATAATGACACAGAAGCAAATAAGTCGATCTTGGAGGGGGAACAAGGACATAGTCGACCTGCTGATGGGGAAGGACTCAGAACTGACAAGCTTTCCCTGAAGGCGGCGGAGCTAATTTTCAGCCATAGAACAGTGTTTTTCTCTCACGACATTTCAACATAAACATCAGCACAAGCCAAATTTCAGCATAAGCGATCAGGATATATGTACCTAGCCATCATGCGGAGACGAGATGAAATTGTGAAAACACTATATGATAAGTGCAGTCATGGAAAGCTTTCCTTCTCCGGGCCAAATGGACAAAATGCATTGCATGCTGCCGTTCTTCGGTACCAACACCGACACCAAGGTACACACGCGTGCATCTTTCCTTTTTCCAACTTACAAACTTGTTCGCGGACTTGTCTTCTATTTTGAAATTATTATGCCACTCTCTATCAATGCAAATTTGTCGAACAAGTAAAGTAGTTGTGCCTACTGGATATATATATATATATATATATATATATATATATATATATATATATATATATATATATATATATATATATATATATATGTGTGTGTGTGTGTGTGTGTGTGTGTGTGTGTGTGTTTCACAAAATTTATAAATTGAAGAAGTAATTATCCAAGAAAAATCTTAGAGCATACAGTTAGGATGGATTGGAATTGGTAAGGGCTAGAATGCCTTTTCTTTGATCTTGGTTAAGTCCCAAACACACCTCAGTCATGCTTTCTAAGAGCAACTCTAGCAGGGTCTTTATTTTTTTTTTAAACTCCGCTTCATTAATTAAACAGCGTTATTACAATCAAATTGCAAAAAAATGTTGCAAGAAGCAAGGAGGATTAAACAAAACAAATGAAGCAAAGGTAGAAGCAGCATGTTGAGCACAAAGGTGTACTGCAAAATTCGTCTCTCTGCTGGTATGGAGGAGCTGAAAAGAAGTGAAGTTGGAGATCCTCTCCTCCATGTCTTCAAGAATCGCCTTGATCTGAACGGTAGTTTCCTTTGTTCTTCCACCGCGTAACTAGCTCGAGGCAATCAGATTCCACAACGATGCGCTCCCTGGTGCCCGCTGGTATTAACCAAACGCCGTCTCGGAATGCTTCCGCTTCTGCCATTAGCGCTGACCCCATTGAGTCTTTCCATCGAGCTGAAGCTGCTAGCATTGCGCCGGCACTGTTGCGCCGGCCTCTACTTGAGCCTGCATATCTAAATATTAGTGCCCACAGCTCAGGCCAAAACATAACTCCCGTAGGTCCCTACTAGCACTCTCAAATTTTGGTGGGCACCCAAATCCCCGCTCCATGCCTCATTCCTAATGGCTCATGGCCAAGGGGGGTGCTAGCGTCCGACCAGGTTGAGCTGAGTTGAGCGTCGACCCCCCGAATTTGCACGCTCGCTCCATGGAATTGGGTCATTTTCACAGGTCCAGGCTCGCGCGCAGACACTGAGTCGCGAAGGCGCCAACCCCCCAAATTTGCACGCTCGCTCCATGGAATTGGGCTATTTTCGCAGGCCCAAGCTCGCGCGCAGCCTACTCAGTCGCGGAAAAACAGAAGAAACATAGGAGGAAAAACAACTATGCTCATATAAGAGTAAAATGCATGGATAGTCGATTAACTTATGAGGGTGTGTCGATTTGGTCCATCAGGTTTAAAAGTGCATTTATGGGTCCAAAATCTTCATCGGTGGTGCGTAAAGAGCCCATACCTCTTCGTTTTATGTTTATTTTTTGTAGAAACCCCCTATATTTATTTTTCTTTCACAAGCTTATCCTTCATGTGCAAACGCCCGATCCAGTCCCTTTGCACGTGAAGAATACGCATGTGAAAGAAAAAAAAATATAGGGGGTTTCTACAAATATAAACATAAAACGAAGGGGTATGGACTCTTTACGCATCACTGATCAAGATTTTGGACCCATAAATGCACTTTCAAACCTAATGAACCAAATCGACATATCCTCACAAGTTAATTTACTATCCATGCATTTTAATCCTCATATAATACAAGAGGTCGAACACAAGACCTCCTCTTAGAATAGAAAGAAAGTGCCTCACCACTACATCACGTGGCTGGCTGGTACAACTTGGGAAGTATTATAAATATTAGAATGTTTCAGATCATTTAAGTAAAAAAACAATTCCACCCACACAAGAACAATGTTGTAGACAAAAATATACCATGTGACATATCATGAAAAATAGAAAAGCTACGTAATGAGATCAAACCAAACAAAATATAAAAAAATATAAAATATGGTAATAAAAAGTAATATAGGAAAAATAAGGGAAAACAACCTAAAATAGATAAAAGAAAACATCACATATATACTAATTGAACAACCTAAAATATACCACAAAACACCTTTTTGAACCTTAAAATATACCATAAAACACCTTTTTGATACCATGTGAATACTCAAAGATAATCGTGAAACATCCCATTTATATTACATGAACATCTAATATATATATAGAAAAATAATATAAGATAGACCAAATCATAAGAGAAGAAAAAAATCCACATAATAGATGAAATTAAACAGAACAGCACATGGGTACTATTTAAACAATCTAAAATATACTATAGAACATCTCATAGGAATTCGAAGATAATCATGAAATATCTCATTTATTTTACATAAACGGTGTAAAATGTATCGTAGAACAACACATGTATACTATGTGAACATCGTATGTATGTTTTGTAAAAATCACAAAATACATCATAGAACGTCCCATGTATACTATATGAACTTCACAAAATAAATCATAGAACACTACATGTATAATGCATGAATATCGCAAAGTACATTATAGAACATCACATGTATATTACGTGAGGATGGCAAAATATATCACAGAACATCACAAAATATATCATAGAACATCACATGTACACTACGTGAACATCACGTGTATCTACAAATAAAAAAAGTGAAAGATAAAATTATTGAAGTAATTAATTAGACTAAAATAACAAAAAATACAAATAAAAACATAAATAATAGGTACTAAATATATAGAATGAATAAATAAACAACTCAGAATAAGAAAAGGAAAAAGAAAAATAAAAAAGATCACATATATACTGCATAAATATCACAAAGTACATCACAGAACATCACTTTTATAATACGCGAACATTGCAAAATATAGCATAGAACATCATAGGTATACTACTTGAACATCACATATATAATTAAATGTAAAAAATAAAATTAGTAAAGTAATTAATTAGAGTCAAATAACAAAGAACAAAAAATGCAAATAAAAACATGAATAACAAATGCTAAATATATAGAAAAAATAAATGAATAACTCAAATAAAGAAAGGAAAAAAGAAAATTGATGAAATCCACATGTATACTACGAGAGCAGGATACGTTTCCCATCTAACATATGAAAAAAAATTGAAAATAAAAAAGCAAGACATGAAAATGATTAAAATAAAATACTATAGTAAAATGGAAATAGAAAATGAAAAAAGACTACATAAAACAGACTAAAAAACTTAGAAATAAAATGAAATAAATAAAAATAATTAATTAGAGTAAAAATATGAATAAAATAAAAAAATTAAAATATAAAGAAAATGATAAGAAGAATAAAAGACCACATAAAAGAAAAAAAATAAAAAGAAAAGGGAAAGGAAAAGGAATGAACGTAAGGAAAAAGAAACACAAAAAACATAAAATAAATAAATAAATTTTGGGAAAAAATAAAATAAATATTAGAAAAAATAAAGAAATAAAATAAGAATAAAAACCCATAGAAAAAGAAACACAATAACCAAGAAATGCAAAAAAATGCGAAAGATGCGTACGCCCACTTAGGTACAGCTAACAGAGCCCTGAACAAATGCACTCGTGCAATAGCTCGGTGGGCTGTAGGCTGTGAGCCGCGTTATCGCAGCTACTCTGGCGCCTCCGTTTTTCCCCGCACGCTGCAGCCTAGTTCTACATGTGGAACGGGCCTCATATGCGTAGCACCTCACTTACACTTTCATCCTCGCTTTGTGTAAAAGGGTTAACCGGAGATGCTACGTTTGGAACGACAAGACTTATAAGCTGGCCCTCACCCTTCTAAACTTCTAAGGTGGTACTAAACACACCAACAAAAACTCCACATGTAACGTGCAACTTGGGCCACATGGGCCAACTTCACAGGCTGGGGTGTTACACCCCCATCCTGCTCGTGACGTCGTTTTCCCCCGCATCTCTGGCATGTCGCGCGCTCCACGCCATCAGTCCGACGAAGTGTGCCGCGATGCCTACATGCCGGCATCTCCCGCGCACGGCTTCCGGGCTCCTCCCCGGCGAGCCCCTGCGGAAGCCTGACGAGGCTGCGGCCCCTCGACGCCCCGCCCGACGCAGGGGCAGCTCCCCGGACTCCTCCCCTACGGGAACCCAACGAGGCTCCCCGGACAAGGCTTTGACGCAGGGGCGGCTCCCCAGACTCCTCCCCTACCTGCAGGCATCTCCTGCGCGCGGCTCCCCGGATACCTCCCTGGCAAGCCTAACGAGACCGCAACCGCTCAACGCCCCGCCTGGCTGCCCAAACTCCTCCCGGTGAGCCTGACGAGAGAGCTCGACGAGGCCGCGATGAGCCCAATGAGGCCGCAGTCCTTGGACTCCTCATCCCCTGCGGAATCCCGAAGAGCTCGTCTCGATGTCGACGAGACTAAGGATTGAAGAACAGAGAATGACAAGCGGATCCATTATCTTATGTCAGTGTATATTAAAAAGGATATGAGGACTCTGATTTGAAGGCTCCTGTTGGAGAAGATGAAAAAAAGTAGACCTTCAAAAATAAGGGAACCCTCAAATAAAAAGTAGAAGCCCTGATTTGAGGATTTCTTCTGGAGTTTCTAAAAAGGGGATTGCAGCTTTTAATTTGTCAGGGTGCATGTAAATTAAACACGATGCCACCAGACATTTTTGAAAGTTGAGATGGCATTAGTTACAAAACGTGACTAGTTCACTGATTGCAGTAACAAAGTGGGGTGTGTCTATGGTCTCGTTTTCTTTTTGTGTACATGATCATGTAAGTCCTTGGTCACTTAGAAATGCAATCATGATTTAGGTACACGCATTAACAGTTACTTTTGTATAATCTTTCGAGGAGGATAACCATGTCTTTCCTTAATCTGGTTCTGTGTTCCAACTAAAATGTCATTTATTCACATAATTGTTTTGTTCTCACCTTGATTAGTCGTCTTACAAAAGAGATGTTTGCAGTTACAAAATTGTTAGAATGGAACAAAACACAACTCTGCCTTACCACACAAAGGGATGAAAACGGGAGTACGCCACTTCATTTTGCCGCAGCTATAAAGTTTATGATTCAATTTGGGCCATCAAGAATTTGTCGCCAAGTATTGGAAGCTAATCCAGATGCCCTATATCAACCAGACCATGCCGGATTTTTCCCCATTCACGTTGCTGCCTCCGTAGGTGCTTTCAGGAACGTCGACATGTTTGTTAAAAGATGTCCTGGTAGCGCCGGTCTGCGCGATGCTAAGGGAAGGACACTTCTTCATGTAGCTGTCGAGAAAGAGAAGGTGGACATAATCGTTGCTACCTGCAGAAAACGATCACTATCATGGATTATGAATATGGTAGACAACGATGGGAATACTGCACTTCACCTTGCTGTCAATGCTGGGAACCTTCAGATGTTTTGTCCTCTATTGGCAAATCCACAAGTAAACCTAAATTTACCGAACAATAGGGGGGGAGACTCCATTGGATATATCCGGATATAAGCTTCCGGAAAGAGGGTTCTACAATTTTAAAGTAATCCATCCGCTCATTTCATTTTAAATTTTATTCTGAAGCAAACAAGTAAGATTTGTGCGGCTTAGCTTCTTTTTTGTTTTGCTTTTGCAGAGTATTGAAGCACAAATACACCTCACAGTCACACAAGTCGGTGCTGTCATGGGTGTGCGTCGCCAGGATCACTTGCTGGAAGCAGACAACATAACTCCAAGAGTAAACGCAGCAGCATTTGATGGAAGCAAAGAAACGGAGGTGCTGAAAGAGTCGACTGGAGCTCTGTGTATTGGGTCAGTTCTAATAGCAACTGTGACATTTGGAGTAATTTTTGCTGGGCCTGGAGGTTACATAGCTGATGATCACAATAATGGAGGCTCACCAGTACTTGCTCGAAGGCATGCTTTTGATGCATTCATCTGGTCCAACACATTCGCCTTCGTTTGTTCCACGGTTGCAACCATTTCTCTCATTCAGCCTGGAAACCCTTTATTGAACCTTTGGAGCCGAAGAACGAACTTAGGCATCGCCTCCTACTTCGTATCCATTTCAATTACATGCTTGGCTGCAGCCTTTGCACTTGCTGCGTATGTGGTGCTAGCTCCGGTGGCTCAGAACACTGCACATGGTATAGCTATCCTCACTTGTCTCGTATTGCTATATAATCAACTGGAGTTCATTTCTACACGTCTTCTTCTACTACCACCCTTATGTACGAGGAAGGGGCTAATCCAGGCATGCCTATTTTCAGCACTTACTATCATGGGTGCTATGCTATTACAGTATTGGCCCTTAATATTCATCTTTCAGTTAGCAAACCTGTCTCCAAAAATAGAAGCACCAGCATCGGCACCAGTACCAGCACCATTGGCATCAACTTGAAGCTAGCAGGCGTCAACAAATATATATGTGGTCACAGCAGACATGGCATGACTCAGTATCATTCATGTCATCTTATGGATTTGGAGTGAAATGAAGGTGCTGTCAGCCTGCTTCCTGTACCTGAATAATCAATGTGTCCCATCTATCTGCGTTATGATTCTGTAGACACTTTATTGAATCAGAAGAATCGGATGTTTTCCATTGTGTTTACTAATTTTCCCTTTGTTTGTTACTAGTTGGGAGCTATTATGCTCGTTAATAATGTAAACAGTGATTACTGCACTTGCAGAAACAGATGTCTTTTGCATATTTGGATGATATTTGTGATTCATGGAAAGTCTGAATGAGGAAGGCATTTGAATTTGTAATTTAGATAGCCATGCCGAGCTATTGTGCTCCTCACGCCATGGCTGGGCTGACCTCTTGCTGCTGCTTGCTGGGTGGTATTAAAAAAAGAGTAAAATGCACCGGTGGTCCATTAACTTTCGTTGAGGTGTCATTTAGGTCCATCAATTTTGAAACTGCATTTTTTGGTCCATGAACTTTTAAAATGATTCACTGCAGTTCCATGCCACTTATTTAACCTTAAATTCAAAGTACATTTACAGAAAACCCCCTACCTTTCTTCGCGCTGCTCGTTTCGGCACAGCCTGCCTCGTCGCGGGAGAGCAGCCCTTCGCGGGCGATTGTAGCCAAGCAGCAGCGGCAGCACGACGTACTGATGCATTCGCCGAAGTCGTCGCGGGAGAGCAGCCCTTCGCGGGCGAGGTCGTTGAATCGCTCCTCGGCGCGGCGCCACAGCTCGGCGGCCTCGACGGAGCCCATGGAGCTCGGTGGCCGATGCTCTGGCAGCCCGCGGCGTGGCGGAGGCGGTGCGGGCGCGCGGCCCCTCCGGCCAGCACGCCTCGCTCTGCCCGGCTGCGTGCGTGCCAGCTCGACCTTTGCCACACCCCACGCAGGCGCTGATCACGGGTTGCCCCTTCCGTCCGCAGGTATCCCTCCGCTCCCGATGATTTTAGCGTCCTGCTCATCTTTTGTGCAGTCAATATTAGCCTTTTCTTTTTTTTTTTAGATAGATGTTGGTGTAACTGCCCTATATTTTCTTGGCAGGGGAGTGCCGAGTGCCCGAACAATAATTTTTCATAACTATCTATTCAATCCACTAAGATACTGTATATGGTTAGATGGTACAGTATCCTGAGATGTGCTACTCTAATTAAACTCTTTATTTTACGTAAGTTAGTAAATTGTCATTGCTAACCTCTTTAATTTACATTTATTTGCAGTCTTAGATTATCAAAATCCTATTTTTTAGTTCGCAAATATATTTCTCATATTTATGATTTTCTTATTTGACATTGCGTCCATTTATTTTTTTTTCCCTATTTGGCACCACATGCTTCTACTGAAACAAGGGCATTTATGTCATTTTGCCAACCACTTGACACCGTTACTAACATAAATGGACGGTAGTGCCATCTAAGAAACGAAATTTCAACTTGATGCCAGATAAGAAAGTTTAAAATTTTTAATACTAAATGAAAAAGACTGATTTGTTTCAGTGCCAAATAGATAATTCTCTCTACAATAATTCACATCTTAATCCAACCAGATTATGTAACCATGCTCAATATATTCCATGAGGCCACAAAAACAGACAGCTGGTATGCAAATTCCGAGCAGTGGACCTTCCTGCTCTTCACCAATAACTAAGATGGAAGTTATATGATGAGGACCATTGCAAACTAGAATGCACAAGGTGTCCATCTTTGTGCAGAAAACGTCACATCATAATTTTCACAACTGCATGATTCATACCGTGCATCATCGAGCAGATGTCAGCCATCTACTATTCCCGAGTTGCAGAAATAACACAGTCAACACTTGATCCCTGAATCTGATGACCTCTTTCAGCTGCACCTTCTTGAATGACAAAATGGAGGAAAATAGGAGTATTCAGTATAAATTTCCTGGGAAATTGAGACTTTGATGAAGATGCAGAAATGTCCACACAAAAAACCAAAGATTCAGAAATGAAATACTCTGTATAATCAGTGCAAATTTAATGCATAATCACGCCCAGACGCAAGGGAAATGCCAAGAGCAGTCTGATGCTACAACAGAAATACCAGTGCTTCACAAGACAGATTTTTTAAAGGCTTTAAGCCCTCGACACAGGAAAGGTCAAATTGCATTAAAGAAAAACACATCAAAGGTCAAACATGTAATCTGTAAAATTGCTTATCAGCTAGACAGCTACTGGGTTTTAAATTTCAGTGCAAGTTACCATAAACTCTGCAACACATCCACAACTATATCTACAACCTATATAGCTCTAAGCATCTCCTCATTTCTGACATACAAGCTTCAGCACTCAGTATTGCGCTGAGTAAACGAATTGCAGAAATACCATGAAAATTATGAATACAGCCACCTCCTTTAGCTGCACTTGTCTGAATAATAGAATTACATAACATACTCAGCAGAAACAGCCTGAGAAATTTGGAACTAGGGAGAAAATGGGTGGATGTACTGTATCAATAATTTTGTATTTCAAACCATCTCCAGGCGTCGCTCCCCCACGCGGGGCGACTCGGGCGGCCCCTGCCGCGCCGCCTCCCTCTCACCCCTCTCCTCCTCGCTCGCCGCGCCGCCGCCGGAGCTGGCAGCCGGCATGGCCGTCCGGCCGGCCGTGATGGTGGCGGCGGGGCTCTCCCTCCACATGTTGGCGGCGCACTTGCAGCAGGCCGGCGGTCTAGCCCCGCACGACCGGCGTAGAGGTTGACGAGGTGGCTGCCGCGGATGCTGCAGCGCCGGCTGGTGTCCGTGCAGGCACAGGGGGCGGCGGCGAGGTCGTCTTCTTCTCCGCGCGTTCCCCTTCTCCTCTCTTGATGGCGGCGGCGGCGCTGGCTGAGGCCGCCGGTCTGGGGCCCAGTCGGCCAGCTCCGGTGCCCAGGGGGGCAGATCCGGACCCCAGGCGGACGAATCTGTCTTGGCGGCCGGCGGCGGCGGTGGCCGGGGCCCATGCATGCGCAGTGGGGCGGTGCTTTCTTCTCCGCCGTCCCTCCCCTCATGGCCTTGGCTACTGCGGCTCAAGGGCTGGTTGTGCCAGGGGCAGCGACCTCTGCCAGCCAGCCTGCCCGCGGCGGCCGGTCTGGTGGCCAAGGCGACGGGCCGGCCCATGACGGTGTCTGCAGCTATGGTCAAGACGGAGGCGTCGGCAGGGGGCGTCGGATTCGGGGCCTGGTGTTCGGATTCGGCGGCCCCAGGGCATGGTGGGGCACTTTGGCGGTGATGACGGCAGTGACATCGGCAGGTGCCAGAGCCGACGACGTTGGTCAATTGCGGCCTCGGCGTGCGGCGGTGTGACGCGAGCGGCAGAGTCAGGTCCGGCTCTACGTGGCTCGGTCGGAGGGGGTGGCGGCCGACGCAGCTGTGCGGCTGCTATGTGCAGCCGGCGCGTCGATGCCCCTCTTAAGGGGCTTCCGTGGGGCGCCGGGACTACGGCGATGGCAGTGAAGGCTGGCTCGGGTCCGGCTTTGCAACCCGACGATCGTGCTTGAGGGATCTTGGGCGAAAGCCTTGGCGACGGCGACGCCATTGGGCGCCGCTTCCCTGTTGGGGGCGTCATATTTCCCCACTAGCGTGTCTTCCAAGGGTGAAAACCCAGTCCACTTTGGACGTGCGACGGTGATGCCATTGGCGTCACTCCCTTCCTGAAGGCGTCGCATTTGGATTATTGTCGCGGTTTCGAGGTGGGGCGATGGTTTGCGTTTGGAAGTCGGAGCTGCTCTTCGGTGTTTGAGCTTGGCAACGATGACCGGTGGCGGCTGTTAGCTTCGGACCCGTCGGGGGGTGACTAGTGGGTGGTCTGCCATGGGAAGTCGGAGCTACTGGCAGCTTGGCTTCCATGCTCGGCAACGATGACCCATGGCAGTGTGTCGTGTTTGTGCTCAGCTGCGTCGCGTGGTGTGGTTAGCCCCTCGGGTGCCTTTCGTCCGGCTAACCTTCTTGTACATAATATTCTTTCGGCTTAATTGAGCGGCAGAGCTCCTGCCTTTGTTTCAAAAAAAAACCATCTCCAAAACAATGAAAAAAATAGAAATCAATGCTCTGATGAACAACCTGAACATCTTTAATACTTTACCATGCTTCTTTTAATATTCTTTTCAGATGTAAGGGAGGCTCCAAAATTCTGATGTCACAAGAACTTCACACGACAGAAATCTCACCACACTATATTGAAATAAGTAGCCTATAAATTTGCAAGAGTACAGAACAATAAAGCCATATACTAGCAATGAAAAAATAAACAGGGTTCTTCAGTTTTGTTGTACATTTTCACAAGTTCTGCACAAGCACACAGGGAACTATATCTGTTATTTAAGACCCTGTGTTGTTCTAAGAAATACATGTATATCACTATAATTTCATGTCCAGTCTAGGCCGTCTTGCAAGAATGAACCACATGAGCTGCTGTGCAGTTCAAGAGTTCATCTTTTTTAGAGTTCCGGAGAGCCAAATAGGACAAGTCTTTACATCAGTTTTTTAGGTTCAGGCTCTGCACCCAACCAGGGAAATATCAATCACATAGCGCAGATTTCCAGTAGACAATGCAAACAATTTACGGGACACACCTGTTAGGTTCATGAGTTCATTCAGAGGAAGTCAGAAACATTTGTACTGTTGTCATAACCAACATCTCTGCTACCCTCTATAACAGAAGCTTCGAAAAACGTCTAATATGATCATCTTTTACATTGTTCAATTACTTGTTTTGTGGTAGTGTAATCTTGAATCTAACCACCTCCTTCAGCTGTACCTGCCTGAATGAAAGGATTAAGGAAAAATATTCAGTACAGACGGCCTGGTAAGTTACTCAGAATAACATACAGCCTTCTGTTTACCGTTTTCCATAAAAGGAAGCACCAAAAAACCATGTCACAACCGAAATGAACATCGCAAATCATATATCTCATCACATGAGAGTCAAATTTGCTTTTCAGTCACAGAATAACATACAGCAATAAAACAAAAGGAGGGTTGTTCTCCAATTTGTTGCACATTAACATAAGTTCACTATCTTTACATGTTTCAAAAAAAAAAGGAAGAAGAAGCTCAGCATGATCAACACTCAGGAATCATATCTAACATACATTGTAGCTCAAGCAGCAATAGGACCATCTAATCTAAATAAACATCGAATTTTACATTACAAGACATTATGTCTGAACTTGTTTCTACCTTGTAAATTTCAACTCTAGTCCCAGTCATTTTGGAACTAAGTGCCTTGAAACATACAGCTGCTGAGCAGAACCAGTTCATTGACACACTAACGTATATATAGATGCCCCTAAAAAAACTGTATATATAGATGCCATTATCTAGACTATATCTCTGAATCCAGTAAATTAAAGCAGCTAAGAATCCGAGATAGCATCAGCTGCAGCCCATGTCGACATTGCATAGAGTATGCGTCCCTTCCACCCTCCCAGGAGCCACTGAAGATCCACATCAGTGACAAAGTCCTCATGAAATTTGTCTCTGACACTCTCCTGCAGGGCCTTGACAATATCGGGATCCAATGACAGCTGTCTCAGCCCTGCCCGGTGGTTCCGCAACTGCCACTTCTTATATGTCTCAGGGCGCTCGACCCTGTCCAAGCCTTCACAAGCGATGACATTCTGGGCACACTGACCAAAGAGATCACGCTCAACCAGAACACGTAGATCACTATCCCGTGGGGTCGTGACATCCATCATGTCAAACATTGCAGAGTAGTGGAACAGCGCCTCCCGGAACCGCGGTACAAAATACGGTGAGCTGTATGTGCCATTCATGATGAAAAGGATGAACACATCTGGTCGCATCTTCTAGATATTGCTGAGAACAACATCTCTCGGGCTTGGGCAACTCGTGTCAACACCTTCGTCCATCAAGTTTCCAAAATGTAGGATGCTATTGACAACGAGCACCTCATCAGGGTCGATGTCCAAATCATCAACACCAACCGTCTCCCACTTAGCTGCAATGCCATGGAACTTGAATGGCACGCCGAACTGATGAGCATAACTGCTAAGCCGCCGCCTGTCTCCTGGACCCGAGCAGCCGGGCGGAACCAGGTGGGAAGATCAATGCCAGTGATCCTCACTTCCGGTGGCCCACCCGGCCATATAGATAAAAGTTTCAGCAAACCAGGCCACTGGGACCGTAATGTATGCCGTAATCCACAATGTGTACCTTCTTCCTCCCTGCAATAGCCTTGCAAATGGTCATGTTGGCGAACTTGAAACCCATAACTCTGAAGCAGCAGGTTGCTTTGCATACCAAGAGGGCTTTGAGGAAGTCCACGGCTGAGGTGCGCCTTGCCATGAGCGAATTGTACAGTTTGCTTCCTGAACAAGCCAGCCAGCGCCTCCAATCCCTCCATGAAATAATGCGCCAGCCTTTTGTGTGGCCTCTCCCGTGGAGAAGAGTGTCTGCTTGATCTTCCAAAGCAGTTCGGCCAAGGCCCGGCGTGGTCATCCGTTGCCCCCACTGTGCACAATGTATGAGCAAGGTGCACAAGTCCACCGCTCCGTTGGCACTCCGCGCACTCCCTTTTCTGCTCTTCTTCTTCCCAGCCCCATTGCCCATACTTGATGCGGAGGCCCTCCATCTCTCTCAGAGAACAATTGGAACCCATTGGCAATCATTTCGTCAATCACCTCACCAGATTCCTCCGGCTCCGGTGCCATCATCTTGCTCTCCCCTGCACAAATTGGCCCCTAGGACATCGCCCCCGGTTGTGCGGTTCTTGCTGCCCCTGCAATTGGCACTTGCCTCTTCCTTCACTTGGAGGACGGTGGCGAGAGCCACGCAGCAGTCAGTCGATGTCTCTAGGCAGGAACTTGTTGGCCTCTTCCATGCCCTTGAAGAACATGGCCTTGCTTCCCCAATCTGCTGAGCACTTTGAAGAATCTTTGAGGCCGGCCAAGGGCGTGGTCACCATCTACGCATCGCAAGCATGGTGCGGTTGGCCTTTTTCTCCATCTCCTCCTCGGCGGCGGTGTCACTCCGGACGCCAGCATCCCCCAATCGCGCCGGACTCTCATCACTCCGGACACCAGCATCCCCAAATTGCTCGGACGTGGTGCTGGCATCCGTGGTGAGGTCGTCGGCCCCGACTCCCGCGTCAGAGCCGGAAGACACCGACATGGTGGGGCTGCCGTCCGAACAAGAATCCGCGGTGGCGTCGGAGAGGACCCGCCTGTATGATTCCTGGGCTTGCTGGAGTGCGGGGTGGTCCGGGTACTGGTAAAAGACCTCGTCGTTGATCCCCTCCTCCATGAGTATGCGCTCGATAAAGGGGAGGCCGAGGTTGTCGGAGGCCAGGTCCTTGCCCTTGCCATTGCAGTCGGGGCGGGGCATCGCGGTCAGGTCGAGGAAGATGGAAGGGGAGAAGGGCTCACCAAGGTCAGCCAAGAAAACCTCCGGCGAGGCGGCCATGGCTGCCAGGCTAGGTATAGTTTTCTAAACGGGCCAAGCCCGTTGGGCCGACACGGGCACGGTACTATTTGGCCCAGTACGAAAACGGCCTGGCCCGGCAGCTACCGTGCCCCGTGCCTGGGCCGTGATGCCAGCCCAATGGCACGGCACGGGCACGGCCCGCTTTAGCGGCCGGCACGGGGGCGGCACGGCCTCGAGACGTTGGATGGAGCCCCTCGCCTGCTGACCGTTGGATCTAGGGGTCGGGTGGGAGGGCTATATAAGCCAGCCGCCGCGGTGCCGCTCTTGGCTCGGAGCCTTTCCAAACCCTATCTCATTCGTCATTCCGTCCCATGTCCCCATTCCAGCCGCATCGAGCTCTCCGCCTCTCCCATCGACTGAAACCCTAGCCGCTCTCCTCTCTTCTTCTCGCCGTCCGGTGGCTGGTTAAGGCGGCGATTGCTGGCATGGGCACACGACACTTCTACACCACTCTTCCTTCTCCCTGACCGTCGATGTAGCTTTCTCGTCGAGATCCACCACCATTCGTCTTCGTCTCTGTCTCGTCGCTCTCATTGACGTCACCAGAGTCCGACATCATTGGGGCTCCGCTCTGATGCGTTGAGGTACCAGGGTGTCGGGTCTCCACGACGTCGTCGTTGCCGTTGTCTCTGGTGCTCCATCAAGAGAGGTGAGCCGTAACCCTACATCTGTTCATTTTTGTTTTTCTTCTTGATTTCTTCATGATCTTCTATTAACCCTAGGTGTTCTTGTTGTTCTTGGTTTTGGTAGGCGTTGGCGTTGAGGGACCGGAGGCCGGCACGGGCACACGGCACGGCCTTCTACACCACTCTTCCTTCTCCCTGACCATCGATATAGCTTTCTCGTCGAGATCCACCACCGTTCGTCTTCGTCTCTGTCTCGTCGCTCTCATCGACCTTGCCGGAGTTCGGCATCATTGGGGCTCTGCTCTGATGCGTTGAGGTACCAGGGTGTCGGGTCTCCGCGACGTCATCGTCGCCATTGTCTCTGGTGCTCCATCAAGAGAGGTGAGCCGTAACCCTAGATCTGTTCATTTTTGTCTCTAGTGCTCCAGCAGCAGGCCTAACCGCCCTTCTACCTTAGTATGCTGGGAAGATTTCGAGAAGCTCACCAAGAAGGTAAATGGTAAGGTTGTCAAGTATGGCGCTCGGTGTCTTCACTGCCGTAAGGAGTATTCTGCGTACTCTAGATTTGGGACTGGCCACCTTCTCTGTCATCAAGACTCTTGCCCTAAGAAGTGTGAGAAATGTCGCATGGCTCAGTCCCACATTACTTTCAATAAGGACGATACTATGCGTAATTGGGAGTATTCGGTTGAGGTTGCTCATGTTCAGCTTGTTCGTTTGCTTGCTAGATTAGATCTTCCCCTCCGTCTTGGGGAAACTGAGGCCTAGGAAGATTACATAAAAGCTGCTCATAACCCTAGGTACACAACTGTTTCTAAGCAAACTACAGCTAGAGATCTTTTTAAGTACTTCAATGAAAAGCATGATCGTTTGATTGATGATTTGAAGAGTAATGCCAGTTTATCTGTTGCTATTACCTCTAATATCTGGTCTGGAAATGCAAAAGAAGATTATTTGAGTGTTGTTGGTCATTACATTAATGCTGATTGACAACTTGAAAAAAGGGTGCTTGGCTTAAGGCTTATTGATGCATCACATAATGCTGATAACATTGCTGAACGTGTTAGTAATGTGCTTAATGATTATGGTATATTGAAGAAGGTTTTTTCTGTTACTTTGGACAATGCCTCTGCTAATACTAAAGCTATGGATAAACTGAAACCTGTACTTAGAGAGTATTTGGGTGTTGATCTATTTTTGCATCAACGTTGTGCTTGTCATATCATAAACCTGATTGTTAAAGAGGCTCTAGTTGCTGTTAGTCCTATGCTTGATGCTTTTAGAACTGCTATATCATTCATTAACTCTTCTAACCAAAGAGTTGCTGCACATCTGGTATTAGACCTAGGAAGTTTGGATTGGACATGGAGGTTAGGTGGAACTCTACCTACCTGATGCTTAGGCATTTGCTACCACACAAGGAAACTTTCCATACTTTCATTGAGTCTAATTATCCTAGAAAAAGAACTGATCCCTTTCTTTTGACTCATGAGCATTGGGCTATGGCAACTAAAATACTAGAATTCCTTGAACTGTTTTATGACTCAACAGTTGCTTTGTCTGGTGTGTACTATCCTACTGCCCTACTTATGGTTCATCATATTGTTAAGATTGATATACACCTGCATAGGTATCAAAATGATGAGCATATTAGAACTGTTGTCCAACCTATGATTGATAAGTATAATAAATATTGGAGAACCATACCTAAACTTTACTGCATTGCATTTATCTTGGATCCAAGAGCTAAAATTAAAGGTTTTAACAAAGTTCTTAGGAAGTTAAATTTGCTTACTGATGCTGATTATTCTAATAAGATGGTGGAAACTAGAACTCTTCTTTTCAAACTATATCATAAGTACGATGATTTGTATGGCTCTGTTAGGGCGAAAAGGCCTTGGGCTGAGATATATGATGATGATGATGATGGTGGTTTGCTTGGAGCTGGCTGCTGTTCTCTTCCTCCTAATCTTGATATGTCCAGGACTATTCCTGCTACTACTTTGTTACATGCAGCAAGTTCATCTAACACCGGTTCTGAACTTTCAACTTATCTGGACTGTGACACAGTTAGCCAGATGGATGATGACTTCAACATCTTGAACTGGTGGCATCAGCATAAACTAACATATCCAGTTCTTTCTACCCTTGCTAGAGATGTTTTCAGTGTGCCTGTTTCTACCATTTTTTCTGAAGCTACTTTTAGTACCACTGGCAGGATCATTGAAGACCGGCGGCGAAGGCTGAACCCTGAAATTATGGAGGCACTCACATGCATCAAGGACTGGAAAGCTGCAGAGACAAGGCTACAGCATATGGTGGAGGATAAGGAGCTCGAGGAGGCCTTTGAACAACTTTATCTTGATTAGTCATTTATGTAATGGTTCTGTAATCTTAAGACTTGGATGCTTTGGACCTTTGGTTGTGGATGTAATGAAGAATTGAACTTATGGAGCTGGTTGCACTCTTTTTCCCTGTCTAGAGTTTCTCACAAGGGTGAGTTTTACCTAGATAGGTTTTTAATGAGGCACCCATTGCACAACTCCTTTAATTTGGTATTTTGTTATCTCTTTCTTGTGTTTTCTTCTTTGTGATTTCAGATTTATCAGATTTCAAGTTTGTTTTTTAACTGTTCTTTTGATTCTGATCTGTTGAAGTGGTGATGTGGTTTTAGTGCCAAGGCACGGCACTAGTCCGCTGGGCTACCGTGCCCTGTGACATGGCACGGCACTATCTGAGGGCTTGAGTGCCGTGCCTGGGCCAGAGTCTAGGCACGGTGGCACTACACGGCACGGCACGGCAATGACACCGTGCTTGATAGTGCTGTGCCTGATAGTGCCGTGCCGTGTAGTGCTAGTGCCGTGTAGTGCCGGTGCCTCCCGTTTGGAAAACTATAAGGCTGGGTAATCTGGGTGGGATAAAAAATGGAAGAATCGGTTGCCGTTGCGGTGGACTGCTGGGTGGATAAAAACGGAATCTTTTTCTTTTCTTTTCAGAGGGAGAAAGGAGGGGAGAGAGGAAGCTGGGAAGGGAAAGCGCCGAGAAGGTCGTTCTGAAAATTCTGAGAATCCCAATAGGTAGAGAATCGTACTAAATTAACTGACAGCCAATTTACAGATGTGCAATTGTGGGCCTCTTCCTCTGTCATAGGACCATCGCCAGTGACTCAGTACTACTGTGAAGAAATTATAATGATAAAGGATCATTGCAAACTTACGATGACCATAAGGTGTCCATCTTTGTTCAGAAACTATCACAATTGTCATACTATGTATCATCACATATAAGCAGATGCCATCCAGCAGAGGTGTGCTCGGGCATTCTGTTATCTCATTTGTACTCCTGACACTTTGAACAAAAGAATCAGTCAGGTAGGTGGCATAAGCCTGTCATAGTTTGATCCCCCAAAAAAAACAGAAACACCTCTTTCAACTGTACTCTGAATGAAAGAATTAAGAAAAATATTCAGCGGAAACTGTCCCCAAAAATTTGAAACTAGGTAGAAAATGGGGAAAGTATGGTACCAATAAGTTTGCATTTGAAACAATCACCAAAAAACAAAGAAGCAAAAATCAATACTCTGAATAACAGAATAATATGTGCAATTTTAATGCTTAATCTCGTGCCCATTTACTCTTTCCAGGTGCAATGGAATACAATGTTACAACAGAAAGTGGACTTCACAATACAGGTACCACAAGTGGTTTTTCAGTTTGTTGTACATTTACACAGGTTCAGTATCAACACACTGAGAACTAATCTAAGATCCTATGCAGCTATAAGAAGCATCAAGAACACCCAAATAAACATCTACTATTACATTATTAGATAGAAGACATTATAATGCATCTACTGTTTATGTCCAAGCATATTCAAATAAAGTGTGTTGAATCACATAAAACAGAGGCATATATCTCCGTATCTTGTGATGAAAAGCCATTAATATTCTGAGATAGCATCATCTGAATTCTGAAACTCATGTTGACATGGCACAGAGTATGCGTACCTTCCACCCTTCTAGACAGGCAAGGTGGTGGGTAAGAACGCGTGTTGAACCACAGCTGCTGAGCAGCTCATGAAGTTCATTGGTAAGACAAAAATTCAGAAACATATGTATAGTTGCAATTATCGATATTGCTGTATGTGGTGAGAAAAGCAGCTAAAGTTCTGAGACAGCATCATCTGCAACCCATGTCGACATGGCATAGAGTATGCGTCCCTTCCATCCTTGCAGGAGCCAGTTATGATCCGTATCAATGACAAAGTCTTTGTGATACTGATCCCTAACTTTGTCCCTCAATGTCTTTACAATATCTGGATCCAATGGAAGTTGCCTTAGCCCTGCCCGGTGGT